ATGTGCCCGTTCACTATAAAAAATATATATAACTATGTATGGTGATTGATGTTAACTAGATTCATTGTGTTAATCCTTTCACAATACATACAAATAGCAAATCGCTGTTGTACACCTGAAACTAATATAATGTTGTGTGTCAATTTTCTCTCAATTAATAAAAAAGAGTAAAAGGGAATAGCGTCCAAAAGCACAACCATACATACACAGAACTTTATCTGAAGGCAAATGAAGTTAAGGTGTTTCTTCAGCCCATGTGCAAAATACATTCTGAATGGATTAAAATTTGGGTATAAAAAAATGAAGGGAAGACAGTGCAAGTAGATCTAAAAGAACATTTAGGGGACCTCTATAGCAGTACCCCTCTTAACTAAGCTGTAAGAGAGGAAACTAACAGATCTGAGTACAGAAAAAATCCTGAAGTTTTCTAGATGTCGAGAGACAGCAGAAATTTAGCCAACTTAGAAATGAAAAACTGGAAGAAAATATCTGCACATGTAAGAGAAATAGCCGTGAACCTTCAGATCCAATGAGAACAGTGAAGTGTGTTTCTTCCTTCAGAAAAATGGCAACGGTCAGGGCAGCTCGCGTCCTTTGCTCGTCAGAGGGCGCGGAGGGGCCCGCTCACAGTGTGTAGGAGGGACCGCAATGCTGTGTGGGATTAGTAACGCAAAACCCACCGAAATCCCAAGTGTGAACACCCTTTGACTAGCAACTCCCCTCTGGGGAACTGATGGGCAGAAAACAAGCACCAGCATCTAAGGCTGGAGACGCAGCATAGTTTGTAGAAACACAGAACAGATACAATCAGAATATTCCCAGGAGGAGAATAAATGAATATATTATAATAATTCATACCACGGACTCTTACCCAGTTATTAAAAATAATGGGAATAATAATAATAGCAGGCTATGGCTGGGAATATTTCTTAAATCTAAATAAAAAAGAAGTCACCAAGGAAGGTGTGTGGGATAATCTTTGTTGTAAATTTTTTTAAAGAAACATATTCCCCATATATACAAATACTAAATTTTTTTTTTATTATAAAGGAAAGTGTGGATCACATCAAACAACTCTAGTAATACAGGTTACCTATGGGCACAGAATTGGCATAGAAGACACTGTTGTCTTTGTGTTTGTATGTGTGTGTGTTTATTTTAGTTATTGCAACAAGCACATATTGCTTTTGGAGTATGCGTTGCTTTTAAAGGAAAAAAGTACATTTACACACATTCACACAGACACATACACTCCTAAAGCCTATGTCTTCATCAGCAGATGTAACTGGCAATATGAAATATCCCCCATGTGCTCGTCTCTCATGTCCTGGGCATTCGAAAATTTTTCAAAGAAAAATAATATAAGCTGCTCTTTGAAAGGACAACAACTCGAGATTGTTACCACCCAGCTCTCCTGGTTTCCCAGCCTGGGGACAGAATCCTCACCTCTGCAGAGGGGTCAAGTCCACATCCCCGGGGGGCGTGATTTCAGTCCCCCTTTCCCCTCCCCCCACCCCAGCTGGATGGCAGGGCTCGGGACAGGGACACCTTTGGAAGGCGGTCCTCCAATGGCTGAAAGAGCAGCTATCGCCAACTTTGCTGAGGTCCCCCCTCCACAATTCCTCATTCTCAATTTCCCTAATGCAGCGCCTCCCCAAATTTATCTCGACTCTTCACTTTTCCACACATGTTTTGTACTTTCCCTGAGGAACAGAGGCTGTGCCTTCCTTGAGAGGCTTTACCTTTGACCTTCTCCCACTGGGCTTGAGCCAATCCCCTTCTGCCTGCCTGGGGTGGGCAGTTAGCCCAATGGTCAGAAGTACAGCCTGTCAAGTCAGAGCAACTGCGTTCAAATCAGTGGTGACACTGGTCACCACTTGAGAGCTAAGTGACCTGGGGCAAGTGTGAGGTCAATTCTCTGTGCCCCCTGGACGGGGCCGCCTGGGCGGATGGTAAGACATTATTTCTGGGGGTGTCTGGGGCAGTGCCAGCGAGGTTAGCATCTGCATCGGTCAGCTGGGCAGGCACCACCCGATCCTTTGAGGGCCTGGCGACTACTCAACACAGGACAAACCCCCTCTCTGACAGGGCGGGGATGTCGGGGCTCCGGTCCTCAGCCCCGGACTTCCACCCCTGGCTCTGTAGCTGGCGGGCCTTTGGACGTGGGCTTCGCGGCACCGCCAGCTTCCTGCAGACGGCAGATGGCAGGACCTCCCGGCCGCCCTGCAGCGTGAGCCAATGCCTCTCTCCCCTCCCCTGTGGCATGTGTGGCAGTGTATACATTCTACGGGTTGTTGCTATGGAAAACCCCAACTAATGGGAGTGATTTAATCCGTCTTCAGCGCAGCACACTCCGCAGACGCTGCCAAGGCCTTGCAGGGCGTAGGCCCAGAACTGGCACCCCCTTGAGTCTCCTCCATCCCACCGGCTCAGACCACTCTGTGGCCCGGGGTCCGAGTTGCCGCGATGGAGCTTCCCCAGAGTGTGAGCGCCAGTGACCCCCGAGGGAATGGGTGACTACTCCGTCTAAGACACTACGCTTAATGTCTGGCACATAGTAAGTGCTGAGGAAGTGTGAGCTGTTTTTCTGAGGCCATGTGTTTTCGTACATAGAGGAGAGTTGTTTTTACAACAGTTCTTGGCCGTGTTGGGACCATAGAGAAGGCCTAGAAGCCTGGAGGTTGCTCAACAGGCCATGCATCTCACTTCAGACGATGCAAAGGAACCAGAGAGGGGCCCTGAACCCCAGCGAGCAGGTTTGGTTATAAAGCCGGCCACCCTGGCCACCATTTTTACATGAAAAATCTCCTTGCAAGGTGGTGTCCAGGTGTCCTGGGACAGGGGCCGGTGTTACCACTCAGACACACGCTGACATGAAAACTTGTCCCAGGTGAACTGGAACCAACCCCTATCTCTGCAAAGGGCAGAGACAACGGGGCGGGGGGTGGGGGGAACGGGGGGGGGGGGGAGGATAGTATCTACTGTTTTGAAAGAATTTTAGAGGTGCCTGTGGCAAATCAAGTTTGAAAAACAAAAATAAGCCCAGGAGAAAGTGGATGTAAAGATGGAAGACTGAGAGGTGGCCTGAGGGCGGGAGTGACCTAAAATCTCTGAAAGGTTAGCAGAGCCCTGGTTGGGTGGCTCATTTGGTTGGAGCACTGTCCCTTGCATCAAAACGTTGTGGGTTCGATCCCCAGCCGGGGTGTGAACGGGAGGCAACTGAGCAATATTTCTTGCATCGATGTTACTCTCTACCCTCCTCTCTCTCTAAAAATCAATCAACATATCTTTGAGTGAGGACCTTTAAAAAGTTTTTCTTTTTTTTTTTTAAAAAAAAGGTAAGCAGAGTATTCTGTGTTCTTGTTCCCCAAAGCCCAGAGGAACGCGTGCGCAGAGCACATATGTGTGGAATTACTCTGTCATGGGAAGGCAGACCTGATTTCACCTAACAGCTGTTGAAAGTACTTAACACCGGCAACGCCGGTTGAATTACTGTTTCATGTATTTGTTTAACTCCTTAGAATAAAATGGAGTGAGTGTGCCTTTTTCACATGAATAGCTTTCCCACCGTGTCCCCTTCACGGTTTCCCTTTTAGGTTTATTATTAAAAGGCAGCTCCTTGGGAAGCCCTGTGGGAGCAGCCAAACCCAGGCTGAGGCTCCGTGGGGAAGGAGGAGACAGGAAGTGACACTAGCCAGTCTGCCACCTGTAGGCTGGCTCCAGCAGACACAAACCTCGGAGCCCCCTGGACAGACCACAAGAAAGCGATACATATTGAATAACGCGAGAAACTAGATGTGTGAAGACTCTATACGAGGCCGGTCTGAATCATGGCTCCCGCATCCCTGCCTCCGGCCTCCTCTCCCGGCCCTGAACACGCACAGCTGTGGCCGCTCCACCTGCGTTTCCCAATCAGCTCCGCGAGCCTCGCCCCGGGTCTGAAATCAGCTTTGAAAATTCACGCCCCCATGAGGATGAACCACCACACCTGTGTCGATCAGCGTGCCCGAGGGTCCCGTCCGACTAAGATCTCGTTTTAAAAGCCACGGAATGGACTCAGAAAACAGGCCAGCACCAAAGCCAAGCAGCGCCCAGTGAGGCTGGGCAGTGCTTACAATTCAAAACTCAGGAACAAACAGCAAACAGTCAGCACCAAGGCCTGGTCTGGGTGCCCCGAGGCGGAATCCGAGCAGACTGAGCGGACGGTTAAGCCCGGTAGGATGTTCTTCAGGGGCCACCCGCAGACGTGGGGACAGACGTCAAGAGTGCGGGACGTCCCTCTCTATAAATATCCGCGCTGCGTCTCTGCCCCGATTCCACGGGTCCATTCTTTTCTGATACAGGAGGCAAAGCAACTTTCATCAAAAGGCTCTAAATGGCAAAAACAATTAACCGCTGCAGACAACCACTTCATGGAGATTCCCTCGTGGGTTTCTCCCACGGACGTTTGTCAGTCACCAGCTTCTCCAATGTGGGGTCCACGGCCTGAAAATGGGCCACCCTGGTGGTCTCCGAGAACACGCCCCCGACGCCGCCGCGGGCCGCCGGCCAGTCCCGCCGCCTGCGGAGCCCGCAGTCCCGGCGGACGCGGGAAGCGCGAAGTCCCCTCCGCCAAGTCGGTGAGCGGCCGCCGGGGGGCCGGTGGGTTCCCGCGTCCTCCCGCGTCCTCAGCGCCCCCTGGGCGAGGCGCACGCGGGGCCGCAACCCTGACCCGGTTCAAACGCCACCCCCGCCCCAGTCACGGCCGCCCGGCTGACGGGGCGGATCCCCGGTCCCCAACCCCCAGCGCGCAGGGTCCCCGGGGGTCCAGCCGCCGCCCGACGCGCGCCCGATGCCCACAGTCCCCCGGCGGAGGGCGAGCGCCCAGCTTGTTCCTCTAAGAAAAGTAACTGCAGGATCTGCGACAGGAAGGGAAAAGGACGCCTCGACAGACGCGACGGGGATCCCCGGAGTTACTGTGCCCGGAGTTGGGAAGTCACCCCCCCGGCCGCGACACTCACCGAGAAGCCGGCCCAGAAGGGGCAGGAGTGGCGGACGCGGGCCGAGGTGGTGAGCGCCAGCGCGGCGAAGCTGACGGCCACGATGAGGCAGCCGAGCGCCATCTGCGTGGCCCCGAGCGCCAGCACTATGCGGGAGCGGCCCGGGCACTGGCGCAGGCGGGACAGGCTGCGGGGCAGCGCGGCGGGGCGCGGCGCACGGGGACCGCCGGCCGGAGGCATCGCGCCCGCGCCCGCACGCCTCGCCCGCTCCCGCCGGCCGGCGCCGCCTCTCCTCACAGAGGGTCTGAGGCAACTTGCGGCGGGCGCGGGCGCGGGCGCGGGGACGGCCTCCCTGCGGGCCCTGGGGGCTGCGGCGGCCGCTCACCGGGAGCCGGCCGGGCCGGGCGGGGAGCCGCGCGCCCGCAGCCCCTGCCGGTGCCCGTGTCCATGCCGCCGCCGCCGCTCCGCAGGGCCGCCCGCCGCGCGGCGCTGCGCCCTCTCCCGCCCGCTCCGCGCGCTCCCCGGCCCGAGCGCGGGCGCGAGCCCTGCCGTCCCCGGGCGCGAGCCCCGCCGCCGCGCGCTGGGCCGGACCCGAGCGGGCAGGGAGCGGACGGGCGCAGCTGCGACCGCGGCGGCGGCGGGTCCCGGGCTGCGAGTGGGCACCGCAGGCGGGTCAGGGGCCAGAAAGCAGTAGCTTCCTCCGCTGGCGGAGCTGGAGCGGCCGTGGAGCCGGGCCCGCGGGCCAAGCCTGAGGCCAGCCCAGGAGGGGCGCGCGCATTTGGGGAAGGGGCCCGAAGAAGACCGCGGGGCCGGGGGGAGCGCAGGTGAGGGGAATTCCCAACACTCTGCCCCAGGTGTGGCGGCGCCTCCTCTCCAATGCCTAGTTTCGAGATCCAAGATGCCGCTTTCCCGCAGTCCCACAGTGTCCCTAGCCAGCCCCCGAGAGCCGGGCCCTGAAGGACGCTGCATCTAAAGGCTCCCCAAGTGCACCGCGATGTCTCTTACCCACCTGTCCCTGGCAGGGCTCTGGATCCCAGTAAAAAGTTTGGGCGTGAGACAAATGGCCAAGATAAGGTTTTAAATACCAGATCATGAGCTTCCTTGGAATACCAGGGAAGCGTGCTAGCGTGGACGGCCGTGTATCGCCTCGGGGCGCGGTGGGTGAGACAACTTTAAGACAGCCAGTGTGGGAAAGGCAGTGCTGCCAGACGAAGACACCCAGGAGTGTCGGCAAGTGTGAGGGATGAGACCGAAAATGACAAAGTTCGCGGCGCCGTAGGGAAATGGCGGGCTCTGCCTCCGCAGCCCTTGGCAGATCGGAGACAGTCCCCCTGGTGGGCAAGAAGCACTGCAGAGCCTCTCCGGTGCTTGAAATTTCCCCGTTAGAGATATTGATTCCTTGGGGGCTTGCCGAGCCTCTATTAAAATGCAAATTCCTCTTGAAGGGGCAATAGCTCAAGGCTTTATCAGCCAACACCTTCGCGGGGATGGGATTTATTTTCCAATTTAATGGGATGGCCCAGGGATGTCGAGGGGTGGGGAATTCCACAGATAAAGTGGCTGACCTCAGAAGGCTGGCCCGAGGCCAAGGCTGCTTTCTCCTCCTGTGCTTATCTATAACGTGGCTGAGAGTAGTACACATTCAGATTTCCTGGAGACATTTTCTATCTAGAAATCTGCAAGGCGGCAAGGAGGGCTTGGAACGCTGCCGGAGGAAGAGTCTGGCCTGCCAGGAAGTTCCCATCTCCTTGCAGTCACCTCGTCCATTCAATCATTCATTCATTCATGCCTCCAAACAAAGTTCACGAGGGCTGAACTCCGGGTACCCTTTTCCATACCTCAGCCGCTATGGAAAACTATAGGACAGTGCCTCAAAAAATTACATGTAGAATTAGCCTATGGTCCTCTTGATCCAGCAATTCCACGTCTGCGTTTATGCCCAAAAGGCAAAGGGATCCCAAGAGGTGCCTGCATTCCCATGTTTACAGCAGTGTGATGCACAAGAGCCGAAAAAGGTGGAACTAGCCCAAGTGTCCATCAGTGGATGAACGGAAGAACGCAATGTGGTGTCTTAAAAAGGTGGGACATTCTGACACATCACGTGGAGAAACGCCAGTTACAGAAGGATGAAAGGTACAAGAGTAGCCACATCCATACACACACAAAGTGCAAAAGTGCACTGGAGAAAGGGGGGGGGGTAGTGTTGGAGGGAACAGCATCAGCTGGGGAAGATGAAAGCGTTCTGTGGGCGGATGACGATGGTAATAGTTGCACAATGTGACCGTCCCGAACGCCACACAGCTACCCACTGAGAAATGGTTCCCAGGGTGATTTTTATCTTATGTCTCTTTCACCTCAAGAAGAAGAATATACAATGAAATGCGTCACACCCACTAGGAGGACTGTAATAAATTACTTTTAAAAACCTGCAAATGCCAAGTGATGACAAGGACATAGAGAAATGGGACCCCTGTTCAGTTCTGGTGGGAGTGTAAACGGTGCATATAGGAGACAGTCCAGCTGTTCCTCGAAACTGCATCCAGAATTTTCACGTGGCCCAGTCGTGCGGCTTCTAGGTATAGAATTGAAAATCAGTGACTTGAACCAGCGGCCGGTGTCCCCTGGTCACCAACACCAGACCTGGGGCACGTGTGTTCACACGATTGTAAATGGGCGTCTGGAAGCGGCATGGGCATCTCTGGACTTTGATAGAGATAACACACGTATGAAAACTTGGACGTGCCCTGTCTGACGTAGCTCAGTGCGTTGAGCGTCATTCCACAAACCAAAGGGTGGCCAGTTCGATTCCCCATCAGGGCACAGACCTGGGGTGCAGGCCAGGTCCCTGGTGAGGGGTGTTCGAGAGGCAACCACACACTGATGTTTCTCTCCCGCGTTGATGTTTCTCTCCAGCTCTGTCTCCCTCCCTCCCCCTCTCTCTAAAAATAAATAAAATCTTAAATACAATCAATCAATCTTGGACTGGTCTTAGTTCCTTAGGTTATAAAGTGTGTATCTCCTTGCCACCTGGGAATAAATTTGAAAGAGGTGAAAGACTTGTACACTGGAAATCACAAAACAGTGCTGAAAGAAATGAAAGGAAACCTAAGTAAATGGAAAGACACCGTGTTTGACGGGAAGACTTAATATTAAGATATTAGTATACAAGATGTTCTATGCTTAAAATAGAAGACAATTTAGTGCAGCAAGATAAGAGACCTAATTTTTTTTAAGTCATCACCCTAGGATATGTTTCACTGATTTTTAGGGAGAAGAAGGGAGAAAAAGGGTAATATCAATGTGAGAGAAACATGGGTTGGTTGCCTCCCACATGTGCCTCAACTGGGGATTGAACCTGCAAACTTCTGGTGCACGGGGACAACACTCCAACCCACTGAACCACCCGACCAAGGTAGAAAAGACCTCATTTTGACAAACTTTATTACTTACCATGATACTTCACATGTTCTGTGATGACACTTAGATTGTGATGATATATAAGTATTTTGCAACTATTAAGGCATTTTTATGAGTGCTGAGTGACATTGTTCTGCAGTAACAAGTTCTTTACAGACAGAAACACAGTTTCATCCATGCCTGCAGTCCCATAATGCACCCGATTGAGTCCTTAGCAGGGAGTGGCCTCTAATTACTATTTAGTCGACTGAGTTCTGTATTCTAAACTCTGTTAAAATTGAAGTTTTCAATACTTTTGAGCTACTGATGAGAATTTTGTGAGAGGTCCCTGAGAAATAATAATTGCTTAGGGAGGGCAATGAGGCTAAGAAGCAAGTTCCACTTAAATTCACTCAACTACCATCACTATTAAATCAGGTTACTAGAAACATACATGTAATGATTTCATTAGACTAAACAGTTACTCACATTCACACACACTGACTCAAACATAATTATACATGAAAAAAAATGTTTTGCCTTTGGGGAAAATGTATGAAAATTATGAGTCAAGCCACATGAGAGTTGATCATTCTCATCCATCAAGTGAACAGAAAATAATGGAGCAAAATTTATCATTTGGTTTTCAAGTATGAGAGTCACCTTCAACCGGAAGTCCTTGAATAGTGGATTTTTTTTTTTTTTAAGTAAGAAACAAAAGGAAAACCCGTTGCTCAGAGATGAATGGGATGTCTCTGGAAAAATAAACGTTAGTGTTGATTATATGCCAGCCCCCACTCTCCACAGCAACAGCCTGTAGCGGAGACATAATTCTTAGAGGTCATGCTGGCCTTTCTCCAGCAGGTGAGCTGTGTGAGGTATGCAAGGAAGAGGGGGTTTGGATCATGCAGCCAACCCATCTCCCCTCCCTGAGCTCTCCAGCGATTCCCCAGCCCCCTGCTCCAGCAAAACATTCGCCTTTGCTTTTTGAGCTTCTGTACATTAGTGGGTCATTCCTGCTGAGCACGACCTACTTCATGCCCTACGCAAACTTTACACAAATGCACTAAAATTAGTCATGATGGTTGCACAGCTCTGTAAACGCACTAAAAACTACTGAATCACACGCTTCCAAAGGGTGGATTTTGTGGCATGTTATATTTCAATAAAACTGTGATATTTAAAAAGACCAAGTGAGTATTAAAAAGATAGCGTGGTATGTACTGGTTATATGCTGTGCTATAGACACGATATTTGTGTCCCTTCAAAATTCTTTTGTTGAAACCTAATCCCCAGTGTGATGCTATTTGGAGGTGGGGTCTTTGGGAGACCCCTCCCCTTGCGAATGGGATTAGCACCCTTATAAAGGGGACCCAGATTTGAGGAGACAGCAAGACAAAAGCCATCCATGAACCAGAAAGCTGCCCTCAACGGACATTCAATCTTCTGGCACCTTGATCTTGGGCTTCCAGGCCCCAGAACTGCGAGAAGTACATGTCTGTTGTTTATAAGCAGCCCAGTCTGTGGTACTCTAGTCTAGCAGCGCGAATAGACAAAGGCATTGTCTGATGATGTAGATACAACACGACTATTTTTCAAATCCGAGGTTGAATGAGGAGAGTAAATGCTGCTTTTGGTGATTAATTGGCCGTAGTAGTAGTATTCATGTTTTGATGATTCCTGCTATAACCGCAAGACTCTTGGATACATAATAGCAGAGTAAGCAAATGAGGAATTGTGGGATATTCTAATTCTGTCATGGCCGGTGTCCTGGAGAATCAGGATTCTCAGTGCAGAAGGAGTTGGAGCTGTAATACAGGCTAGGTTACAGGAAAAGCCCACAG